TTTTTGGACTTATATTTACATTTCTAGTTTTTTTGTTATTTTATGTTTATGTTAAGTGATGTTTATGTTTTTAAGTTTTTTTTTCCCTATGATGTGGGGGATGTCCACATTTTGTTAAATGAGGTGAAAGTTAAATTATATAAGATAAGAGACACCTACACTTGAAGGGAAAATGAAGGGTTGGGATACAGAGTTCTCCCTCTTATAATTAGCCTAACTCCCAAGGGTTACAAGCTTCTCTGCACAGCTGGTTATAGATTTTCTAGGTTTTAACAGTTCCTACGGACCTCCATGTAAGATTTCTTCCTTATTTCCTCCCTTCTTCTTGTTGGCCCTTGTTTCCAAAGCCTATCCCTTCCATTTACCAACATCAACCTGATGTTCTAGATGGCTGGGATTTTTGCTTAAACCTTCAAAAAATTCATTCCTTACCTAGAGCTGAATTAAAAGACCACAGAACTTGACACCTTTAGCCTTCCCTTACTGCTTATTGTTGTTTATGGGCCATTTTGAGACATTATTTCTTTACCATAAACATAGTTTAGCCCCATGATGATTGCATTTGATAGCTTTGTTTACATTTACTTTACTGTATTTGTGTGTTACTGCTAGTTGTTTGGTAGCCATTTTGATTCCAAAAGTTCTACATCCATTCTAAAACTTGGGTTGCATTATCTACTATCTTCTCTCTTTGTGACTCTTTCTCATGCTACCAGGTATGCTTGATACCCTTCTTTTCCTCTTCTCCTGCTATTGTTTCGTATCATTGGCATTATTTTTTAATAATTGGTGGACTATAGCCTCGAACCCAATGTTTGTTGCACAACCAAGACAGGCCTCATTTTCCATCATTCCACCAACCCTTTGTTGTCCCTTTTTCTACTTTATGTTTCTTTTTTAGTGCGCAAAAGCATTTCTACATTCTATTACTTCTCTCAAAGCCCTTTTACTTTCTGAAATGTGATTGTATGTAATGGTTTATATGTTAGGTTTTATGCACTAAAACTTCATTGTGAAATTAATTCTACTTGTTTGCCCTATTTGTATTATTTGGTATTTAAAAAGTTGGAAATTTGATGCTACATAATTTTTGGATGATTATTTGTGACTTGCAATTTTTGTGCCTTGCTTGACAGATTAGTCAATGATAAAATATTTGCCTGTTATATACAATGTTCACATCTCTTTGATAAAGCCCTCACTTCGCATCTTGCCTCTTGAATTGGCCCCAAGAGACCCTCAACGACACAGTTTGTCTTACGCCTTAAATAACACTAGTTGCTATTTTATCAAACACCTGGACAATACACTATGCACGGGTGCGTTCTTGCAATAACTTGAGATAGCGCCGCCTAAAGTCCCGTCACACTACTAACAACTTGTTTGGCTGCTGTGTCAACACATTATAAGAACTTTGAGCCATGCAATCTGGTGTGTCATGGTATTATGAAATAATTGGCAAATCGCACATAATGCGTAGTTTACTACAATGATGAAATTGATAAATTGGTACGCTAAAGGCATGAACTCTCTTTTAAAAATAAAATAAAAAATTAGCTCAAATTTTGGAAGTACATAATATGTTAATGCTGCTAAGAAAACTCATTCATTGTCACATCTTAAATAATAATGCAAAATCATTGTATACTACTATAGTATCTTTTATGCAATCCATAAGATGCTCAAAGAAACACAATTTCGAAGATGTGAAAAACAATGAAATTGGCTTTCCATCAAAATAAAAATCCATATGGAACCTTGCAAAATTGTATTTTGAGTCTTATTTTAAGTTAGTTTGAGTCAATTTGCTAGTATTAGTATTTTATGTCATTTTAATAGTTTTTAAACTCAAGGATATTTTTTTAATTTCTAGAATATCTTGAATGAGTCATAGTCTAACCCGTGGGTAGTTTTTTGAGTCAAATTCTAGGGTTGAATATTCTAGAATTTAGAGTCCTAGTTCTAAGTTGTTTTAGTTTTTTAACTTTTAGTGATCTAGAGCAAAGTTACCTGGATCGTTGGTCGCTTTGGTATGTGGTACAGGTATGGGTACATGGTACGACACATTCTTATGTATGTGATACGATGGGGGTAGGTTTAACTGGTACGGTACTTTGGGTCGCAATTTATTTTAGAACTCTTATGTAAATCGTTTTCACTACTATACAACATTATATATTACAAAACATTCATAAATACTAAGTTCGTTATCATTTATCTTATAATTGTGCTTGATTTTCTATTTTCTAAAAGAATATATAATTATAAATCTATATATATGTAGTCAATTAATATGTATTTTATATTTGTGCTACATGTTCTAAAGCAAATTGATATAGAGTTAGTATTGCAATTTGAGGTCGTCAATTTTGGTGATTTGGATCATGAACCCATCACATTTCAGATCGATGTACCCAGATCATGAGTCGTTAAGGATTTAGTGAACTGTGGCAACCATGATTTAGAGTTTTTGGAGTCCCAGAGACTTTGGAATCCTAATATTTTAGGATTAGTAGTTACAACTTTATATATAATTAGTGATATTTTTAATAAATAATAGAGAGATGTGATGCCTAAGGAACTCTCTGTGTAATTCCTGGTCTATTTTACTGTTCAATTTACTGTTTACAGCCAATTTTATTGTTCATGTTACTGTTCACAGCCCAAAACATCCCCCATTTTAATTTTACATAGGGGTCCTACATCAATCTTCCATTTCGAATATATATATTTTTGCTTTATACTATCAAATCTTACTATTCCTGATGTGATTCAACCTTGATGCGGAGAAAAAAATTTTAATTCACAATTTTTTTGGATCTCAGTTTGATGAATAAGATCAATAGCTATAGCTCCTAGTTCTTTCTTAGTTAGCTCCTACTTTAAATCCAGCAATGCAGCCATAATCCTAGAGCTTGGTTATTAAGTTCCCTATACCACCAAAATTCCAAGTTCAAAAATAAAGTGAAGCTTAGGAAATTTGTTTCTTAATATTCTGTTTAACATCAGTACCTTTTTAGTTAACATTTGCCGGGTGGCTTCAGCCGCAGTTTGAGGCGGAGAGGAATTACTTGCCTCTGCAGCTCGCCTCTGTTGCCTTTCCTGAAAAAAATACAGTGACAACATATTATATACATATATAGATAAAAAGCAGCAGGGACATGTCCAAGTTGACAAGCAATGTAACTAGAATAACGGTTTTCTCATTTATACTCCCCTTGAAAACACTTGCATCAACAAAAATCTAAGAGAAGGGAAGGAAGTGTGAAAAGCTTGACCTCTGCATCTTATACATATGGAAATTGAGAATCAATTTAAAGTGGCAGTAACTATTAGACTGGGTCACTGCCAATAGGCAGTGGCACAAGGCAACAGAATTTCAATAACACATGCTTGATGCTTTGGGTTACACTATCAGACACCATCTGGCCGTTCCAGAAAGCAACACACATCGCCAGGCCCAAAAGAATAACAGCACTTTGTGGTGGTAAACCATGAAGCAGTTCACTTAAGCCATCTACAATCTACAGAGTACTTTTTAAACAGTTTTTTCCCACCAAAAGAAATGCAGATGTCTCTATCAGTTAAGTAACTAAACAATCTAATACAAATCACAGAATAACTACTGCCGGAGATAAATGACTAAATTTTACCACCTTAAGCATAAGAGTACGCATTTATTAACAAGCTACTGACGTAGGAAGTTCTGAATCTCCACATAACATAATGATATTTGAAACATGTTAATATGCCCGTCCAATTCATGGTGCACCAAGCCCCACATAAAGAGCCATGTAGAAGATGAAAACCTAAGTTGGACTACTCTTTAAGATTCATAACTACTTGTTTACATACAAGTCTAACAGTAAATTTGATCAAGGGGAGATTGATTGGTCATTCAACAAAAATGATATCAGTATTTAGTTTTCCCGTTCTATGAGCAAAATATATTAAACATCAAAGCAATTATTTTCAACTTGAAACCATTCAAGAGTTATGGCATTGCAATGAAAAGAGCTGCAATTAGTTTGTAATGTGAGCAAGGAAATCACCTTCCTTGATTTTGCCACAGCTGCTGCGGCAGCAGCAGCAAGCTCCTGTGCAGCTTGCATGCCTTCCGGGCAGTTATGGAAATTAGCCTCACAAGCTTCCTTTGCAGCTGCTGCGGCTGCTTCCTTTGCCGCTTGTTCCTGAAATTTATTGACATCATAAAAGAGATATATGGAGTAACTACAGGCTAGCATGAATGAAAAGGGTAACGTCTTATAACCAATCAAATCATTAATTTTCCAAAAGCACTCACTGTGCAATGAGCCGATTTCCATGACACAGTTTGAACAAACAAGAGCACAAAACATTACAATTTTGACTTGGGCAGATAGAATATTGAACAGCCCCAAATATCTAGTAGAATATTATAAAAATATTTAAATGTAGAATACTATATAATTTAATTTCAAATACACAGCAATGCAAAAATATCTTTAAAAAAATTATACACCAGCATATATGTATCATTCCAAATGTCCTCTTTATGCCTTCCACAGATAGGTAGTAACTTGTGCACTGCAGCCCCCAAGTCATGATTCTATTATTACTTTCCACGCAATTTATGTCAGTAGAATCTCCATAGACAATGCTGAACAAAACAGGATATAAATCAGATCACCTCAAGATATTCCCTGTTCATTTCCTCCCAAATAATCTTCTTGTACTGCTTCTCCTCTTCATTGTGAAGGTACCCGTCAACCTACGCAAAAATTGCTTCTTTTGAGTGACAAATGACAACCATTATAAGTCAGCGACCCAAAAGGAAGAATGTAATTTATCTCGGATATGCCTGGTAACATATAACTAAGTTTGAAGGCAACATATTACCTGCAGATTGCTGACTAGCTAGAAACTGTACAGGCTTAGAAATATATGATCTTATCCAGTGCTTATAGACAAAATCTTTAATTAGCATATATAACTAAGCAGCCACTGCTAGGAATAACAACTATGAACACACTAGTGTTACTCGCATGCATTGGATTCAACAATTGGTGCTAGACCAGTTGATGTACCCATCAAGTCAAATCTCATGGTCAAGTAAGAAGAGTACACAAGCAAAAACAGACAAAGGATTTGTCATCTTGAAGTCATCATCAACTAGAAAGTGCCAAGCTATTAAGGTCGGGGTTTAGAATGTTATAGCAAACATGAGTTCAAATGGCAAGAGAAGACAATAAAAGGAGAAAAAACCAACTGGACCCATTCGGGCTGGTCAGAATTTGATGACTTTCAAATTGCAGTCACAGTCCTCTTCCCTTGTACATCACCACTATTAACGCAAGTAGCAAGCTCCTGTAGAGACATTTGGCTTGATTCATTTTCTCATTCTAATTATGACCGTCCTCAAATAGTTTGGACACCAAGACTACTCTAATTGGGTTATAAATAGGGCATGCCTCTTTCCCTTATGGTAACTCTCCAGAGCTTAAATCCTCTTACATCATATAGAAAGAGCCAAGAAAAATCCCTAGATCCCTAAGATGCAAAAGTCATTCTACTTTGATCTTCAACGTTCAAATCAAGAAGACTAGCGAAGAACAACCAAACCCACATCAAATTGTGTGCATACTGAGAATCATGGGAAGGAGTTCTAGAAAATTACTCGAAACATGGACTCAACATCGCATTCGACTTGTCCCACTGAAGCTATTGCTCAAGACCTCATGGTGGGGTAATCCGGAGGGTTAGATTGTGTATTGGTTAGAGTCTGTTAAACAACCATCTACAAAAAGCTTAAGTTATTAGAGAGGGTGTAACTTTAAGTATGTATACTTCAACAAGCCCCCTCATATGCAAGCTTGATTTTAGGCCTAACACATAAAAACTTTTTAATAATTAGGTGGCGACGAAATTCAAACACATGCCCTCCAACTTTAATACCATGTTAAACAACCATCTATTCCAAAAGCTTAAACTGTTGAAAAGGGTCTTCAACAAGGTATAAATCTTCGACCCTATAATCAACTTTGAGAATAGTGGATTAAGTTAGGTGGACCGGAATTGGTCTCGCGGTTTTTTCCCGACAAGGTTTCTACGTTAAAATTATTCGTGCCATGAATTGTTGTTTATTGCTTTAATTTAGCACACACAAACTTGCAATAGCGCGCACACACAAACACCATGTGTTTGATGAATTGATTCATAGATTGCCCTATTTTATGTCTTCATCAATTTGATTTGCAAATTGATGGTTGGACTTGTTGGAGGGATAAGGATGGTGGACTGAAATGTTGATTTCATATATCTTGCATCCAATATTCATTGAGGGTCAGTTGAAAAAAGGGGTTCATTAAGCTTATATTGACTAAATAATTGGTTAATGGGTTATTGTGGTAGATAGATCTTAAAATTGGTGTAGATTTAAGTGGGGAGTGTCAAAGACCTATTCAGGTTTGGTCCCTTTTACTCACCACATATCCTCACTTCATAGCAGACCACACCCTGCTTTTCTTTCTTTCCTTTCTTTTTTTTTTTTTGATTAAATAAGGCAGAAAAATAGTCATAACTGGTAACTAGAGAAGTGCAGTGCTATGACAAACCAAAACCATGAAAAATGATCAGTACCTCAACATCATCAATATCAGAAAAGCTCTCTGATTCATCACAAACTTTAGGACTCGCATCATCAACTCCATGTAATTTGGCATTATCATGAATACCAACATGAATTGTAGATGCCCCTGAATTTGTCAAGACCAGTGAGGATATCTATAAATTGAAAATGTACATTTGGGGCCCTTCTCATGCCCTATCCTGTCACAAAAAATAAGATGGCAATAATTACCTATTAATCCAGGCTCTGTTTGCTGCAAGTTTTCATTTCTGCTCACGTTTGGAATGTTCGCTTCTTTCTCAAACTAACAAATTCAAACAAACAGTGGAACTGAACAAATGCTTGAAAAGAAAAAAATGAATAGTATAAAACAGCTATCAAAATATGAAGTAGGATTGTCTAGCATGTAAATATATACATGAACCAGTAAAATGTTTGCCACTGAGAATACTAGCAAGTGTAGAGAATAATATGCCAATTTAAGATTCCCTAAGCATCTCAACACCAATCTGATCAACAATAAAAGACACATTAAGTTTTTCATGAGTTTGCAGGCTCAAGAATGCGGGCTACCACATTGTGCAAACAACATCCCCATTCCACTCCCTTCAAGTATCTCTGCCAAAAGGCACCAAACTATATAATTACTTCTTTGAATGGACATTGAAGAATTCAAATAATGACAAAGGTTAAGGTTGTATCCAGTCCAAGCCTCCCAGAATCGTAGATTAACAGGGACCAAACCTGTTATGAACCTTTTATGACTTTTATTGAAGAACTAAAATTCACAATAAAACAGACTGTTAAAGCTACAATCAATAATCAGGCAAGTGAACGTTCTACATTAGTCGAAATTGATAAAGGTGTGTAGTTATGTTAGATGAGTATTTCTTCATGCTAAAAACTCAAAAATTATATGGCAGTTCAACAAGTTCTGACTGAAATCACAGTTTTAATGGTTTCGCCTATTCATATATAAGAACTGGAACCTTGATGTCCATATGACTCTTTTTATAAATGACATTGAAATTAATCACGAAATACCTTGAAATTACCACACCACTTCCCCTCGCCCCCCCCCCCCCAAAAAAAGGGTTGGGGTAGGAAGGAATATTTAGACGGGCCAATGATTAATTGACACAACATCTGTAGAGCCCTCTAATGACACCGATTGAGATCTTAGCATTTGTATCCCAACATCTCTAGAACGTCAACCGCAGCATTAATAAAGACCATGATATGGCAAAAAGAAAAGTATTAAACAGAAACAAGTAATGCTTTCTCCAATGAATTCATAATTAATGAAAGTTGTACAACCCCGCAGCTTTCCACATCAGAAACAATATAGGTTCTCAATACAAGTTCAAACATAGACACATCCACATACACAATACTTGTCACAGGGTAACTTTCGTTTTTCTTTTGAGGCTACCTGTGAAGGCGTTGCTATTGCAACCAGCCACACTCAACTCAAGAATAAGGGACAGAAACTCACACAGAAGGCACACACGAATTTACTGGGACAACACTCCCAAACCTTATATATTGAACTCAACAATTTACAAAGACTCTCAAAAGCCAGAACACTCTCTCCTCTCCAGAATGTTCAAGCACCCCTATTTATATAAGAGGATGGCAGATGACACCCCCATCTGCCAAGGGGTAGTTACCCACGGTTTTGCTATTCCATAACATACTGGGCTAGCAGGCTTGGTCTCTGTGTAACACCTGGCAGGCAGTTCCACCACTTCCAATAACTGTTGTGGAACTGTCCTTCATCAGCATGCATCTAGACTGGATTCAGACTGGGGACATCCAGAACCGCCTCAACAACTGCCTTGATTGAGTCTCAGCATCATAACCGCCCACATCCTCCTGGTCACATGCATTCAACAGCCATGTGCCAGTTAGGTGCCCACATTCAGCAGTCAACCTTGCTACACGAACCAATGTGCATGATGGGTTCAACCCATGCTATGCAATCCGAAGCTCTGCACCCACATTGCATCAATTGAGCCCACCCATGCTCAACCGAGTGGTCTCATGCTGCCTTGGTTCACCCCAATCTGTCGAACCACTTAGCCGCGTCACCTTGATTCCGATTTCTGGTATGCCTTGGTGCAAGGTGCCACCAAGACCGGCCATTTGCACCCAAGTCAATTAGGGTGTAACAAGCCACCCCCACCTGAAGTATCCAACGACCTCGTTGGAATGGAGGCATGGTATTGCTTGATGAGATCCTCGGACTGCCACAATGTCGTCTCTTTCTCCCTAGTGGCTTCCTCCGGTGCTTTCCCTTTCCACTTGACTAGGTAATGAGCTCTTCTATTTTTCTTACTCATTCCCTCAGTCTTGTGGTCAAGGATAGCTTCAGCTATTTCTGTGAATTGCTTCCTGATTGTTGGAGGAGCCCGACGCCGAACGTATCTGTTAGGGTCCTCAACATACAGCTTTAAAAAGGCAACATGAAAACTGGATGAAGCTTGAGACAACTGGGAAGATCCAGCCTATAGGCCAACCTGCCTATCCTCATTGTTATTAGGAAAGGGCCGTCATAACGCTGGATTAATCCCTTGTGTGCAGACTTCCGAGAGATCTTATTCCAAATTGTGGGGTCAATTTCAGCATCACTTTGTCACCCACTTCGACCTCTACTGCCCTCCTCTTCTCGTCTGCCCACTTTTTCATCCTCTTCACCGCCTTAGTTAAACAGTCTTTTGCTTCATCGGTCCTCTCCTGATTGGCCCGAGCGAAGCAATATGCTGCAGGACATCTCCCTTGAGACTTTTGCTTGACAACTTCATGCGGGGTAAGAGGCTGTTGGCCAGTTGCCAACTCAAAGGGGCTCATTCCAGTGGAAGAACTCTATTGGAGGTTATAACTAAACTGGGCTACATCAAGTAAATCCACCCAATTGTCCTGGTTCGCTGTGACATAATGTCTGAGATATTCCTCCAGCATTGCATTGACCCGCTCGGTCTGCCCATCTGTCTACGGATGATTGCTGGTGGAAAGGTTGAGCTGTGTGCCCAACAGTTCAAATAAAGCTGTCCAGAATCGGTCAGTAAACCAAGTGTCCCTGTCACTCACTATGTCCAGCAGAAGACCCCAAAGCTTCACAATATGCTTGAGGAATAACTGAGCAGTAACTTCCGCCGTACATACTTTTGGGGCAGCAATAAAAGTGACATACTTCGAAAATCTGTCTATCACCACAAATATCGAAGTAAAATCGTTTACCTGAGGCAAGCCATTAATGAAGTCCATGGAAACACTCTCCCCAGGTCGGCTTGGAATAGGGAGAGGTTCCAATGTACCCGCCACCTTCTTCCTTTCAATCTTGTCCTGCTGGCACACCAAACAAGTGCGCACATACAACTCCACATCTGCTTCCATACGGGGCCAATAATAACTTTCTGCTAGCAAGGCAAGAGTTCGTTGCTGCCCTGGATGTCCTGCCCATAGAGCATCATGAGCTTCTTTCAGCAACATCTGTCGAAGTCCGCCTGACTTCGGAACATAGGGTCTCCTACCTTTGGCGTAGAGAACACCATCCTCTACCCAAAATCGCCGAGTTACCCCTTCGTGAACCTGTTTCAGCAATAAGCTGGTCACTGGATCATCTTTAGTCTGATCCTGAATTCTCTGCAGTATGTCTCCTGCAATCTGGCTAAGTGCAGTAACTGTCCCATCAGCAACTGGGATTCGACTAAGAGCATCAGCAACCTGATTTGCACTGCCAGGCTTGTACTGCAACGTGAAATGAAACTGGGCAAGAAAGTCCTGCCATCTTGCTTGTTTTGGTGTCAGCTTCTTCATGGAATTGAAGCAACTGGTAGCCACATTATTTGTCAGTACAAGGAAATGCTTCCCCAACAAGTAGTGCCTCCATGCATTGATGCAGTGAATGACTGCTGTCATCTCCTTCTCATGTACTGAATACCGCCTCTCGGTATCATTCAGCTTCCTACTTTCAAATGTCACTGGATGCCCATTCTGCACCAGCACCCCTCCAAGAGCAAAGTTTGATGCGTCTATATGGACTTCAAAGGGCAAATCAAAATCAAGTAAGCGTAAAATTGGGCTAGACGTCACCACCGCCTTCAATCGATCGAATGCCTCCTGGCATTCGTAGGACCAGTTCCATGTCCTATCCTTCCTTAGAAGATCAGTCAGCACCGCAACCTTTTTCGAATAATTCTTCACGAATTTTCGATAATAGTTTGTCAAACCAAGGAAAGAACGCAGTTCAGTAACCTTAGTAGGGACAGGCCAATTTACAATGGCCTCAACTTTTTTTGGGTCCATCTTCACCACGCCCGCAGAAATAATATGCCCCAGGAATGAAATTTCTTTCTGGGCAAACTCACATTTTTCTGGTTTCAGATACAACTGGGCTTTCCTTAACTTTGTCAAGGCCAGCCTAAGATGCTCAACATGCTCCTCAAGAGTCTGGCTATAAACAACTATGTCATCCAAATAAATCACCATGAAGTGGTCCAAGTATTCCCGAAATACATTGGTCATCAAGTTACAGAATGTAGCAGGGGCATTGGTTAAGCCGAAAGGCATAACTAAAAACTCATATGACCCGAACCTTGTCACACAAGCAGTCTTTGCCTCATCTCCTTCTGCAATTCTGACTTGATGATATCCCAGCCGCAAATCCATCTTGGTAAAGAAAACCGTCTTTCCCAATCTATCAAATAGTTCGTCGACAAGCGGCACTAGACAGTTGTTCTTGACAGTGACTTTGTTGAGCGCTCTGTTGTAACACTCCGCATTTTATTTTATATATATGCATATAAATATATATTAAATAATTGTTGTAAAAATGGGGATAGGTGTAGCGATGTGTGTTTGAATTTGGTAGATTGGAAATGGAAAAAGGGATGAAATAGTGAACAGTGCACGTGAACTGTGCACTGGCTGCAACTTCAAGCCCAATTTAGACCTTGATGCAGTCAATATCTCTTAAAACTCAAAACATGAAAGTTGTAGAGTTCTTTCTTAGCTTTCCATAGCATCTTGAATCATCTCAATCAGAGCTCGGATGAGAGAGTTATGCCCCGAAAACGAAGTAATATCGAAGCAGCCCATGAACAGTAAAGGAAAAAAAAATCAGGATTTCTGTGTTTAAACACACAGATTTCAGCCTTTACTCTCATTTCTCTCATTCCACTCTCAACCCACTTCTCTTAAGACTCTAGAGGAAGAGAGAAGGATAAAACACAAGATCAAGAGGAGATCTATACTTCAAAGAAGATCAAATCTTCATCTTCTTCACACTAAACCTAGGTTTTTAAGAACATTGAAGTAGAGTTTTCTTCCATTCTTGTCCATTGATGTTAGGGTTATTATACATGTAGAATTTGGCTCTTAATAGTATGTATTTGTTATGGGTTCCTTGTTCCTTGGTATGTTTACAAACATTCCCATGATTTGAACAAAATGATGGTTGGAAATCCATCAAACTCTAGTTTTGGGGGAAATATGGATTTTTCTCAATATCTTCACATCATCTTGATTTCGAAAATTCTAGAACTTTGTGTTGGGTAGTAAAATGATTGTATTGATGATCTCATGCTTATTTCCTTTAAACTTGTCTCTTGTTACATGATTTGCGAAATGGGTATATTTTCTTAAATTGTTCTATTATGCATCTTGCTTGTGAAAATTTGGGGAAACATCATGGAATTTGCTTGTATATGAGGTTGAGTATATTGTTGGTATGTCACTCTTGTGTATGGTGTTGTGAGGGACTTGGATTACCTTCGAAAACTGCCGTAGAGCGTTAGAGGTTAGTCTATCCCAATGGGGGGGTGAGATGGCTGTCTAATGCTCGTAGTGGATCACTGTGGTGACAGTGACCACTATTGTTCACGGATACCGGAAAAAAGGGTTAGTATACTAGACACCTTGGGAGGATCTCGTCAAGGCCGTATGAGACGGTACACGCCCTTCCTAAATTGGTCTGTGATTGTTAGTGAAAATGGGTGAACGAGGTAGAATCGTCGGGTAAATTCATGAGAAGCGACAACCTACTTGAGTGGTACCAAATAGAAATTTTTGTTCATTGTACCAAATATTATTTCTCCAAGAGTTTCGGGTAGTATGGGATGCCGCGATACCTTGTGGAAATGGTGTATGGTGGAGTGGATTATGTTGGAAATTGTTTGTCAATTAAACGTGGTTTTATTCTCGTTCAAGCCCTTATTATTGTACAAACTTGCGATCTCCTTTAAAATGTCCTTACTTTACTTCAAAATTCATTTATATGTATGTGCGAAACGTGACCTACCTGTTTTACTTGATTTCAAAACATTGAATGGGTTTGGAAGGATCCTCCTACAGAGCCTTGTGCTCACCCCCCCTACTTCCCCACCTTTCAGATTTTGCCTTTGACGAGGAGCTGGGAGTCGAGGGGCCGACACATTTGGAAACTCCGATAGAAGGGAGCGTGGATCCCGAGGTGGATGCTTAGAGCGACCCCCCTTTCTTTTGTTATAAACTTGGATAATCTTTTGGGAGAATTGTATAGCCTAGTTTTTATTTTATAAATTCCGCTGTGTATTATAGTACTTTTGTGGGAATGTAAAGGCCATAACTTGGCCTATTCTTTTGGGATAACATGTAAATTGGATGGATTAATTTTATAGTAGTTAAATGGACCCAGTGTGGTCATTACAGTAGAATTGCACAGGTTGTATTTTGGGTAGAGCTCCCCGAACAGAGGAGACTCTGCCCAAATTTTGTTAAAATATGAATGGTGGATGAATGAAACTTTCGTCGTGATGAATTTACTTAATGCTCTCATGCGGTGAATGGTTTTTAGAATGTAATGTCACCCATGGGGGTTTTTAGGGCGTTACATCTGTAGTCTACACAAAGCCGTAAGGATCCATTCTTCTTTTTTGAAACAGAACAGGAGCTCCATAGGGTGCCTTGGAAGGTTGAATGAACCCAATGTCCAATAACCCCCCAAGTTGTCTCCTTAACTCCGCCAATTCTGATGGAGATATTCGATAAGGAGCCTGTGCAGGGATTTTTGCCCCTGGAATTAACTCAATGGCATGGTCAATCTCCCGTCTTGGCGGTAACCTTGCTGGCAATTCTTTAGGTGCCACATCCTTGAACTCAACCAACAACTGTTGCACTGGTTCAGGGACTTGCAATGCTTTGGACTCCTCTTCCTCAAATAGAATGGCCAAGTATGTTGCCTCCCCCTTTCGCAAGCCATCTTTTACTTGTAAGGCAGACAGCATTTCCCCCGAAGACTTGGCCTTTGTGAGGGGAACAAAACAAGGATTGGGCATGTCCATCACGAACATCCCATTTAAATGCGGCATAACAGACACCATTGCCTTTGTAAGGAATTGCAGTCCAAAGATTACCTGGAAATCATCGAGAGGGACTGCCATAAAATCCCATGTTCCTTGCCAATCACCCACTCTTAGAGGGACTTCTCTTGCGACGCCGCCTACTGGTTTTGCTTCTGAATTAACAGTCTTAATCTGGCTAGAGTCTTTCACCAAAGCCAGACCAAGCCGCTGTACCTCCCGATCAAAAACAAAATTATGGGTTGCACCTGTATCAACCATTGCCTAGACGGCCACATTGTTCAGGCGAATCTGCACAAACATCAACCCCCTCTTTGCCACTATCTCCTCTTTGCGAATTGCATTAAGAAGTTGTAATGGATTAACTCGTGTTGGTTCGTCAGAACAGTCAGTTTCCTCAGCCATAAGGGCACTGAGCTTTTTCTTCTTGGGGCAATTTTTGGCACGATGAGGGCCATTACAGATAAAACAACCTGAGTCAAAATTAACAGTCTGGTTTTGCTTCTGAATTAACAGTCTTAATCTGGCTAGAGTCTTTCACCAAAGCAAGACCAAGCCGCTGTACCTCCCGATCAAAAACAAAATTATGGGTTGCACCTGTATCAACCATTGCCTAGACGACCACATTGTTCAGGCGAATCTGCACAAACATCAACCCCCTCTTTGCCACTATCTCCTCTTTGCGAATTGCATTAAGAAGTTGTAATGGATTGACTCGTGTTGGTTCGTCAGAACAGTCAGTTTCCTCAGCCATAAGGGCACTGAGCTTTTTCTTCTTGGGGCAATTTTTGGCACGATGAGGGCCATTACAGATAAAACAACCTGAGTCAACACCTCCCTTTGATGAAGAGGCTTTGTCAGTCTGTTTTTCTGAATTGCCAAACTTCTCAGCCTTTTTCTTCTGCTTATCCTTCTTAGCAAACTTGGCTTTCCCTTTCGACTCCTTCTCTAGAGGATTAGCCAGCATTTTGTAATCAACCAGCGCGTCTGCTGCGGACATAGCAGCGGGTAAGTCCTTCACCCCTTGCCGACAAAGTTCTGTCTGTGCCCAAGTTTGGAGGCCAGACATAAAGTTGAACAGCTTGTCTTCCTCTGACATATTTTTAATGTCAAGCATCAGAGACGAGAATTGCTTCACGTACTCCCTCACGGTGCTTGTATGTCGAAGTTTCCCCAATGCATCACGGGCTTGCCAAGCCATGTTGCTGGGAAGGAATTGCTCCTTCATTTCAGCAGACAGAGACTCCCAAATAGTAATTGGAGGACGAGATTTGTCCTCAGAACGTGTTTGCCACCATAATTTAGCATCACCAGACAGGTACATGCTAGTGAGATCTACCTTCTTAGCATCCGGAGTGCGGACTGCTTTGAAGTAGTGCCCCATATCCCACAGAAAGTTCTTGAGTTCTTTAGCATTTCGACTGCCTGTGAAAGACTTAGGGTCAGGCACTTTAGCTTTCTGAGTGCTTTCACTACCAGAAGCCATAGAGGCATTCTGCAATGCCCTCTTAAGCACTGAAACGTCGGTCTCGAGGGAACTCAATTTTTCCCCCATATCATTGGTCCATGTGGAGATCGTAGCCAACACGCCAACAACTTCGTTTTTCACTCGACTGAAGTGATCAGATTCAGTCTTTTGAAGCTGTTCATGTGCAACACACATCTCATCGAACCGCTGATATAGCAACTCAAGCTGCACAGAGAGAGCTACAGCATCACCAGACTGTGGAGGACCAACCAGCTCCTCCAAACGTGCCACCCTTTCTATCAGATCAGAATTCGTTCCGCCAGCCATAGTTGATCTGTTGCCAAAACTACGCTCTGATACCAAACTGTCACAGGGTAACTTTCGTTTTTCTTTTGAGGCTACCTGTGAAGGCGTTGCTATTGCAACCAGCCACACTCAACTCAAGAATAAGGGACAGAAACTCACACAGAAGGCACACACGAATTTACTGGGACAACACTCCCAAACCTTATATATTGAACTCAACAATTTACAAAAACTCTCAAACGCCATAACACACTCTCCTCTCCAGAATGCTCAAGCACCCCTATTTATACAAGAGGATGGCAGATGACACCCCCATCTGCCAAGGGGTAGTTACGCACATTTTTGCTATTCCATAGCATACTGGGCTAGCAGGCTTGGTCTCTATGCAACACCTGGCATGCAGTTCCACCACTTCCAGTAACTGCTGTGGAACTACCCTTCATCAGCATGCATCTAGACTGGATTCAGACTGGGGACATCCAGAACCGCCTCAACAACTGCCTTGATTGAGTTTTAGCATCATAACCGCTCACATCCTCCTGGTCACATGCATTTAGCAGCCATGTGTCAGTCAGGTGCCCACATTCAGCAGTCAATCTTGCTACACGAACCAATGTGCATGATAGGTTCAACCCATGCCATGCAATCCGAAGCTCTGCACCCACATTGCTTCAATTGAACCCACCCATGCTGCCATGCTCAACCGGGTGGTCTCATGCTGCCTTGGTTCGCCCCAATCTGTCGAACCACTTAGCCGCGTCACCTTAATTCCGATTTCTGGCATGCCTTGGTGTAAGGTGCCACCAAGACCGGCCATTTGCACCCAAGTCAATTAGGGTGTGACAATACTAATCTATCTATACAACTATACCAATCAAATTAAGGGGAGAGGGGCTTAAGAAGCCTCCCCTTCTCCTTTCCACTCTTTTATAAACTAACCATTACTCATTTAAATCTGTTTTAAAACTTAGCTTTAATCTCCAATAACTTTCCATAATTCTTTGAATTCCCAAATCACGGTGAAAGAATTTTCCGGGAAAGAGTTTACAGGTCTTGTGCATCGCAGGTGCCAAGGTCCACACTAATGTTTGATATAAGCGTTTTCCCTGATTACCCAAATATTTCTAAATTTATCCAAAAAAATAAACACATCCACATACATGAACGAGAGACCCTTTCAGAAATCCATAAAATTGCACAACGGTATTCCCCAATTCACATATGAACCAAATTTCATATGTCAATTTCTTTATTTCAACTTCCACATGAAAATTGTTGAATGTGATTCTTGTTACACCCTCAACCAAATAAAGCCCATTAATAAAACTCAAGGATGACTCAACACATTATATCATATGCAAAAAATCTGAAGATTACACAAGTACCAGATAATTTAAACCCAAATTTGGGGTAAAAGGCTAGTTCTTAAACGTATTTATAAACAGTATGATAAACAATGTATGATATTAATCTTTCCCCATAATTTTATGGATGTTAATTTGAACAAAATGCAAAATAAAAACACAGGAAAAGGAAATACTTCAATATCTAATAATTCCAACGATACTACGTGAAAAGAAAAAAGTTAAAATTGCCATCAGTCGGTACATTTAAATGTTTACTGTTGTTTTGGCAGGCAGATGTAACAAAACTCGAATCATCAGCATTCTGAGAAACATCTTCTTTTCTCATTGTTCTTTCCCTCTCAGCACGCTGGAAAGCTGGAGGTTCTGATCCTCCCTCGAGCCCTCCTGAAATTTTAATGAACTGCAATAACCCATACAAGCACTACAATGATTCCAAGAGTTAAATTGCTAAACAGAATGATTCGAAGAGGGAAGTAAGAAGTTACATCATAATAACAATTTTTACACAATCCATGTGCAAAAGGAAGCTCTCCACTTTTATGTCCACAAAGCAGTTCACTTGTCCCTACTGCTTCCAACCCAATATTTGGTTGTTTGATTGATCTTTCTTCTCTTTCAAACTCCTCTGCCTTCTTGTTGAACTCCTCAATCTAATTGTAACAGGAGAATTTTTTGGAAAAAAATAATCTTATCACTTACATGTTACTATCAACAATAAAGAAAAACACAGACACAAAGAGAGAGAATGCAAAAAATAACAACAAATTTCCATGGGACTTTCACTACAATGTTTTTCGTTTCGTACTTCACCTTGAAGATTTTGAAAAAATAGCCAAACACAACATAAAACAATAATTGATAGTTACACCATGTTTATTCAGTGATATTTTGGAGCTAAAAGGAGTGGCTCGGTGCATAACTAACCTTCAGTTTTCTAAGCACAAAATATTTCACTATGAAACTACACACTATGCGCTACATATTATAAGTTTATAACACATGAAAAAATTTGGTGATGTTTACCGATCTCTACATTTAAAATAGCCTATAAATAATTAGATATACAGGCAAATACATGGCGAAATATGAAGCTTGTAGTGCGACCATTGTACATTGCCAGCATCAAGAAATGGAATAAAAAAGAATCTCGACTACTTAACTGAGGCACCATATTAGCAAAACTAGTCATGAATCCCATCACTAAAATGTGTACGATAGATAGGCCATTTATTCCTAATCTCCAATGAAATTTTTTTTATCTATTTACAATCTTCCACCGGTTGTATTAATGGATCGTCCAAGTGGAAATGTTAATAAAATGCATAAATTGCCGGGAGTTCCGAAATACACTCAAAAATGTTGTATACCTCTGAATGAATGAGTGCAAAATGCAAATTAAGAAACCTGCATATACAGGTATAACTGCCAGTACTGTTAGCCAAAGAAAATAATTTATGGCAAAACAAATACACTTGACTAGCAAAAACCCGTGCTCATGCCCACCCCAAATAAAATAACAAAAGTACAAGGCCAAATGTATGGTTTGCTTTTTTATATTTCTATTCAGTTGCTAAATCACTCTTTCGTCAAGTAATAACCTGGACTCACGGGATTCTTGATCAATCACCCCCCTAGAATATGGCTCTCTTGGCGCTTTTGTATTTGATTTTATGGAAAGGCCCCTAAGCCATACAGAGCTTGAACACTACTCCAATGTATTACTTCAGTGCAAACAAAATAAATGAAAAAAATTCTAGCAACGCTTGATAAATCCCTGACCATAGGTAATCTTGAGCTCATTGAATCAAAAGCCTTTTCCATCTACAACAGTAGTAATAATTGACTTGTAATGGAAGAATGGTTCATTCAACCTTATCGCGGATATTCGGTTCACACATTCCAAGTTTGTGTCAATCCACTCATTACGGAAAGCCCCTTCAGTTTAGATACTATTGAACTGAAAACACTTTTTGAAATAGCACACATTCGACATATTAAATGATAAACATTCATAAACATGCTGCATTTTATCTATGAAAAGGAAACGCAAAACCTCATTATTATCACAGCTAATTTGAAACGTTTGCATAGTGATCGCAATTCTAGAATTTGTAAGAAAAAACCATGCTTAAGAGAGAAACAAATGTCAGCTAAAATTATATTTGCAAGTGTAAACTTTATCATATAGATTACCAGTGGTCTCTTCTACATTTCTCTTTACTGAATTTCTCTCTGTAGCGAAAATAATATGAAATAAAAAGAAAAGAAAACTTCAAAATAATGAGGATTATATTCTAACAGAAGTATCCTCCTGACAGAAAATGCTTTCACTAGATATTTTATAGCCAGAAAGAATTTTAGAGGTTAGCAAGTACTGCAAATTAGAAGGGAAACGGAAAAGGAAAAAATACTTTCGTGGTGGTAGAAGGGGAGAGGAATATTGAATACAATCCCATCAAAAAGTGCATTTCTACATGAGAGCATTTGTGGTTTGTATGCTTCAACGGGATTCAAATACGGTATGACTTCAAACAGAGGTGGAGGCAGTTTTGTTGAAGAGCAACTTCAATTTTAAAATGGAAGAGATTTTTGTGATCTATAAAGAAATACTGGGATTTATAGCTTTTGTGGGTTATAATAAAAGTAGCTTTTGGGCAGTTAAAGGTTCCCTTCTATCTAATACATTTTTCATGTTGTATATGTTAGGCTTCAAAAGATAAAGACAGTAATGACACTAATTATATTTAGGTTATGCTTATAGTGAATTAATAAGAAGGCCACATTGGAATACAAGCATGTATATTAGCACACAGGACACCTTCGCTTTTATATGGATGTTAAACACTGTATCAAGTACTTGCTCAGTCAAAACTACTGGAGCTTCAACAACTAATTCTGGCAGTTCCTCTATCACTCCATAGGGGTATTGGAGTGGTAGAAGGGTCCAAACAAGATGTCATTCGGATTCAGATGGAAGTAGTGGAAGATTCTAGGGCAGGTCTCGGATTCCTTCAGCAACTCCAGTGTAAAGTTTCTCATCTCATCAACATAGGATCACAAGGTACATAGACCATAAAGTAAACTACTGTTTCCATCAATGCAACTTCAAACTATAAAAATGCATGAACACTTTCTATTGAGAAACTGTCAAGACTCTAAATTAGAATATATGAAATCTCAACAGATATAGCAACAGAGGAAGTTAAGAGAACACCAAACACATGAAAAAATAATTAAACAGTTCAAAGACACCAAACTGACAGGAGAGCCCAGACCTCTTGGACTCTTGGACTGAACTACCCTAGCAATGGAGCAAATGGAGTGAGATAGGAAGAGATAAGGGCAACTTTAAGCCAAATTTAGGACAAAATGAAATGGTGCATGTATGCCACTTCTAAAATTCTAAGTCTATGAACCAACAGCATCAAACTGTAGATTGCGCTCCACCTTGATTTGCTGTAGTAGAGATGGTCTAGATTTATGACAATGATTCACATTACCTTCTAGGCTACAACAAAAGTCAATCAACCTTCTAGCAGTTGAGTCCAAAGAAATTGCTTTAGAATTGCAAGTTTCTCACACAGTATATTCAGATGCCGCCATGGGTGAACTTACAGTTAAGCTCCCTGATTGTGTATTCTCGAATTCGATCAACCGCTTGGCCAATGTTGCTTCACAGATATGCACAACCTTCACCTGATGATAAGTTGGTGTTTCAAAATATAAACTACCCAGGTAAACAGAAGATAGCATACGAAGATAAAAATAGATTTTTTGAGAAATATAACCATACACAGAGAACATATCCAAGCATATTACACATAAATTGAGTCATAAGTCTCATGTATGATGTATCCAGGATAATAATATTGGAGCCAATCAATTTAAACAATTATATTCACACAAAGTGTAAAATCCACACAAATCATAATTAGAATAAATGAGTTATTCAACCCTGATACAACGCAAATTAAACTCATGATTATGGAAACAGTTCAGTGAGGCTGGGAATGCACAATATGGAAAATGTTTGTGTTGTGGTGATTGTTAATGACTGAATGCAACATGTGTTCAGCCACTTGGTTCAAGTCCTCTATACTTGAAATATGCCTCTTACCTTATAAATCAATCTTCATTTATTACCATGATATTTAACATCACTCAAGCAAGGGTTACTTAAGGCAAAAAGTGTGCCGAGGGGCCAAAATCTCCAGAGGCCTGGGTGTGAAGTGCGAGGAGAAACACGCCTTTCATGGAACCAAGGCACATGTTGTAGATAATATTTGAAAATTATAATTATGCCACAAATACAAGTAAATTCAACAAGTCTTACAAAGTTTCAGCCAAATACAAAATTAATAGACATCTAACATAAATTTTCAGGAATTAGAATATTTATCAACACCTCGAAAAATACAACTAGTTCACGAATTATTAGCATCCTTTACCAATTTCAACTTAGATATTTATTCTTGTAGTTAGATTAAACTCTGTGAAGTTTGGTAGAGTTTAAAACTATAATTAGATAATTATACACAGAGTTCTAATCTAATGTTATGGATGTCAAATATTCCAATCAAAGATAATATATTAATGGCCCAAAATATATCACTAAAAGAGAAAAAAAAAAGGCTCATGCAACATTTGCCTTGGGATTAAGCCGGAGGCAAACGCCTCAGCAAAGTAGTCTCGCCGCAAGCTCAATAAAGCGCTTCAGCTGCGCCTCACCTTGCCTCGGCCTTAGTGGAGTGCTAAGCACACTCTTCATAACACTTGCTCTTGCTATATTTTTCTTTGCCTGAGCTTGGTTCCTACTCACAAAATGATTACACCAACAATGTAATTGATCATTGGGTGGCAGCTGTTGCTATGCACAACTCGCTCCCACTGGATTGGGTTGGTTCTCCCCCTCAAGCGCTTAAGGCTTTTATCTTGACTGATTGTAATCAAAATTTCCCTACTTAATGAAATGATTATCATTTGTGTTCAGATCGAAAAAAAAAAACAATGTAATTGATCAAGCTCATTGAGGATTTCCAGAAGATTCATAACCAAGAAGGCAAAGAAGTAAGATATGGTTCTTGACTTCTTCCCTACATTACATGTAACAACCTGAACCAACTACATGTGATATTGTCCACTTTTGGTTGTCCTTGCGACTTTAAAATGCGTCACTCTAGTTAAAGCTAAGATTTTTCATACATAGCACACCAACCTCTCTATCCAAACAATATGGGACAGGTTCATACAACAAGCACCTCACCTCATCTCACCCTTTCCCAAGGCCTGTTGGACTTTTGGCTATAGCATAATCCACCACGCTTAAGAGCAATACATCATCATATGGAACATGCTTAAGCACCTCTGGCTCGTCCCCTGTAGGACCCACCCAAGCATGTCACATATGGAGCCCATCCTAACTCATCCGCATGTGGAACCACCAAAGCAGGTTTCCATATGGGACTCATCCAAACACGTCTCCCTGTGGGACCCTCCCCACCACCGTGAGGTAGGTCTAGATATGATAGCACCTATAATGATTTGGCCCAACCACATGTGATATTGTCCGTTTTGGATTGTCACTCAAGACTTTAAAAAGTATGACATCAATTAAGGCGGAGTTTTTACATATGTATTGCAATGACCTTCTCTGACCAAGAGATGTATGATAGCCAAAAATCCAACCATCCAAGAAGCAATGGAAAAAGGTGAGGTGAGGAGGTTAGTGAGGTGTTTGGTCCATGAACCTGTCCAACATTGTCTGGTTAGAGAATGTTGTTGTTCACTTGCGCTATATATGTAAAAATTCTACCTTAACTCTTATGACATGTTTTAAAGTCGTGAAGGACAACCCAAAGCGGACCAATATCACATGCAGTTGAACAGAGTTGTAATAGTACAACCATCAAAGCATATTTCATATGACTAAATCCGTCACAGTCATCCATGGAACAACTTATTTCCTTCACTAATGCATTCCTTTATATACTACCACTTCTGCAATGACATTCATTGTAACAACAAG